CATCTTCAAGTCAGGGTTTGTGGGGGTTTCAATCCAAACAAGCTAAAACAATTCAGTAAATGATAATAGTTTATCAAAAAACACTGTACAAATAATAGATACAGAGGCAGAACGGCCTCAAACAGATTGTCGAACTGCAGCGGGAAGGCCAGGGAGGGCTGCGGGGGCAGGAGGGAGGGGGTAAGAGATCAACCGAAGGACTTGTATGCCTGCATATAAGCATAACCAATGGACATAAGACACTGGGGGGTAGGGAAGGCTAGGGGACTGTCTAGGGCGGGGGGAAAAAAAGGACACATATGTAATACCCTTTGTAATACTTTAAGCAATAAAAAAAAAAAGACAATAAGGGGGGAAAAAAACACTGTACAGACATACATCCCATATATTGTAACCATTTAGGAGGCTATATGAGAAGAGCTGGATGATGAAGTTGAAAGGTTCGAATCTGAATCCCAGCCCACATAAATTTCTGAGAGGTCATGGCTAAGTAACTTGCCCTTTGTACCCCTCAAATTCTTCATCTGTATAATGGGGCTGGTAATATTTACCTGACAGAGTTACTGTAAAAATCAAATGAGATAATATACATATAAGCAGAAAAGTACTCAAGGTAATTATTGTCATTATTTTCCATAAAAAAAGAGGATGTATTCCAAAGACATAATTCAGTGTCTGGAAATTTTATTCTTAAGGATAACATAGATTGTCTAAAGTTACAACCTAGAATTCTCATTAAAAAGAACTAGCTCTATGATGCAAAATATATATATATATCCTTAATGTTAAGTTAAATAATTCCAGATGCACTAGAAATTATAAATTAAGTACCCAGGACTTGAAGAGCATGGGTTTTAGAGTGAAGAAGAAAGCAACACACACACACAACAGAAAACCTGGCTACAACTCTATGGGAACCACACTGCTCTGAAAAGCTCACTTAAGAAAGAGACCGTATCATATACATATCTGTATATTCCAAAATCTAATACAATTCAGGGACATAGTTGATGCTTGATAGTTATTTATTTAAGACCAAAGAAAAGAATTCTATTTGTTAAACAAGGTGCTGCTGTATTGAATGACATTATCTACTGATTTCTTTTTAAGAGTTAACATTTCTTTTTTTATTACTTATATAAATGGACAAAAACTCTTGAGTTTTACTGTAGGAAAGATAAGGTAATTAAGTAATGTATATTCTATGAGAATTGATTTTAAAGAATCTATAAAAATTATTCCACTCATTACAAAAATTAAAGTAAAAATAAGTAAATAAATACAAAGTAGGTTTACCTGCAAAAAAATCTACTTCAAATGATGAAGCAAATATTTTTGAGGGTGAAGGGGGGGTGGTTGGGGAATGGATTGATTCAAGTTAGTAAAGAGACAGTACATAAAGCTCTGTTGATAAGAATTAATATACTCACAATTTGCTTTCTTCCCTTAGACTAGTTATTTTAATAAGTATCTTTTCTCCCAAACAAGATAAAAAAAAATTTTTCTTTTGAAAATAACCTTAATTACTCAATGTTCACCCTGGTGTTAATCTTCAAAGTATTTGTGTGAGAAAATAGTTTCATTTTTTAGCAGTCACTGCAACATAATCTTGGGTACAATTCAAACCTTTTAATCAGTAACAGAAAGTTGGAAGGGGTTGACTTATAAAAGACATTCGTCCTTCTTTTACCCGTGCAGAATTTAAATGAGGTCCCAAGAAAGAATAGCACATATGCCATTCACTTTAGCACAAAACACCTTCCGGTGGCATACAAGCTTGCCAGAATGGAGGCTAAATATTGCTAGCGGCCCTTTTTCTGCTTCTATTATCCTGCCGAAGTATCCCTTAGAAACCTTAAGAAGCCACTTTGCTTAGAATTTGGAGGGCTTGACAAGCTTCCTTTTCTGAAATCCAATTTCTGTGATGACTTCTGTTACCAATGCTAGCTTGGTAATGCAGTTAAGAATTATGTGCTTTTGCTAACAAATGTTCTAATACTTATCATGTTCTGGGAATTGTGCTAAGTGTTTCATACGCCTTATCTCATTTAATTCACACAACAACCTTTCTATAAAGCAGATACAATTATCCCATTTTGCACATGAAGAAATTGAGACTTTAGTTAAATAATATGCCAACTATGATACAAAATTAGAAATTGTGTACCTAGTAATTTATGTACCTGATCATTATGCTATAATACCTAGGAGACACCAGACCTATCTTATTCTTGTTGACGGCTTCCAATGGTTTCTAATAAAATTTGTTGTTCAGATTTATGTCCCCTCGTAAACAGAAACGATGAAAACAAAACATCACAGGGGAAAAGCCAAACAAAACTGAATTACCTTGGTTTCTGGTGTAATGGCCTCCTCTAGTAATTTAGTTTTGGAACAATCAACAAAAGAAATCTTTAATCCAAATTCAGATGCAACCCGCCTGAAGTACCTGTTTGTACCTGAAGCAGAAGAGAATCAGATAAAATGGAAAGGACATTGTATTAAGAAATGTCCATTCCTTATTGGTATAACCACTTCAAAAATATAAGGAAGCATCAGTTGCCAAGAAAAATACAACTAAGAGCAATTCTACTTCGGTTAAACAATTTGGCTATTGTGTATTGTAAAGAATAGAAGGCTTGGATTTTTTTTTTTAAGCTAGAGAGTCAAATAAAACATACTTGGTATCCACACCAAGTGGCATAAAGCAGAAAATGTTATCAAAACACACAATCTCTATTCTTCAAACATTAAGGAGCGTGCTCTCTAAAACATCAGCGTCTTTTTAAACCGTTTCTTCCTAGTACTCAAATCTAAAGTAAGTAAACCCATCTTGGCAACATCGTTAATATCATTCAGGACCCACTTTGTTATCTTTAAATATCAGTTGACGCAACACGAGTGCAAGACATCACCTACCTCCATATACATCATCCATGCATATAATTTGGTCTCCTGATTTTAAGAGATGGGTAATAGTCATAGTGGCTGCTAAACCTGAAGCAAAGGCCAAACCTAAAATAAAAACCAAAAAGTCAGACCAATAGGTTAAAAACACCTACAGCGTTAACTTCACATCCCTCTCTGCTAAGAGGACGGTCATCACCAACCACCACGTCTCGAGAAGTCCCATGATGAATACCATCACAGAACACCCCTATTCCATTTCAAAGATAAAATAATCCATGTAATTAAAAATACATAAATCTGCTTTAATTAGATAACATTTCTCTGAAACACTTCAAGGAAATAGTTTTTTTTTATAAAATTCTGAGATAAAAGGACAATTGCCAATTAAATTACAGTTTGAAAACATCAGGCTCTAAAGAAATTTCAAACTTGAGGAACAGAGCTAAGCTATGATTCCTTAACTATAGGGATATATAACTGAGCAAATTTAACAAAGATCAAACTCACACCTGAGATCTGTCTGATAAATTTAATAAATTCTATTTTTAATTTTTTTTAATGCGAATCTCTCTTAAACAAATGTGATCTCATGTTGAACAAACATAATAAAATAAAAAATAACTGGCATTGTGCACATTAAACACTATAGAAGGAAATATCCTGACAAAGTATCAATAGATCATCTTTATGATTAAAAAAAAAAATCACCTGTGACTGATAGAAGGGACAATCAATTAACTTTTTTTTTTAATATATATTTTATTGATTTTTCACAGACAGGAAGGGAGAGAGATAGAGAGTTAGAAACATCGATGAGAGAGAGACAGCGATCAGCTGCCTCCTGCACATCTCCTACTGGGGCTGTGCCTGCAACCCAGGTACATGCCCTTGACCGGAATCGAACCTGGGACCTTTCAGCCCGCAGGCCGATGCTCTATCCACTGAGCCAAACCGGTTTCGGCCCAATTAACTTTTAAAAAATAAAATTTAAAAAAATCTCCTCAGAGAAGTGAAGGTTAGAATTGAAGTTTTCTACTGCAATAATTCATATAGTCGGCTAAACTTCAAAGCGCAGTTAAAAACAACCATATTTTCTGGATCCACTTGAAAAAAGTGTTTGACATAGAAACACTCAGTCTTTATACCTCCTGCAGAAAATAATGCTGCCCACACAGTACTAAATTTCAGCAATTTTGTGTTTAATTTCATCCAAAATAAAACCAACTCTCTCCCCAAAATCTCAAACACACCCAGTTATTCACATTATTCTTTCTAATTCCTACACTCTTGCTGTGAGAAAACTCCCAAGACTCTGTATTTATTCACTATTTTGCCCTCATTTAGCATCATTTGCATAAATAATACAAAGATATTTAGTAGCAATCCACTCCCTTATGAAAACAGACACAAGATTCAAGAGCTAATTTCTAATCTCTGAGAGCACATTATCAATGGTACCTGCTAGTGCAAATGGGCCTTGCTGCTATTCTTAGACACAAATTATCAGGAGAATGAACCAGAATATAAGAAAGCTTATATTCTCTTAGGTAGTCTTATAAAACTTAGGTAATTTTTATCTATTGATATTGGCAGCTTCAGTTAAAGAGTATCTACATG